CAATGCTATACTAATTGATATTTTCACTTTCTGCCATGATGATAACTACTTTCAAAGTTGCCACCGTATGATGTAACACAAAGGCATTTGCTGATTGGATATGCGTTTGCAATCAGTGCAAGTAGAACAAACTTTTTTTTTCTAGTTGTGGTTGCAGTCACACTGGTTTTTGAAGGGGGTTTACTATTTAATGAGAACAGCTGTTCAGTTGCAGTTGCCTGCATGGCTGAAATTGCAAGATGTGACCACAGCTTAACATGCATGGCAACTGTGCAATTGACAAACCAAGGTTGTGCAGCTCCAGGATATGATCTCGTTTCCCAGCCAATAACTGGTGGTATACAGCTCACTCCCATCTCCAAGGCATTTTCTATGCTTTTTTGAAAGTTTGGCTACTGCAAACTATTACTGATCACATTTAGTACAAGCCAGCTGCTGGTCTTTATAGCTCAAAATTGGGTACCACATGACCTAACATATATGCAAACTAAATCATTTGCATGTCTCTGCATCTCTACCAGTACTGCAATTTGCACGTGGCAACATGCATTCCTTCATGATGTAATTTCATTTTTGAGGAGTGTAATATTCTTATTCTCCTTACTTGAACTGTTCTGTAATCATATTTTCTTAAGTATAAAAATATAAATACATATTTTCCCTTTCCTCATTATTTTCTTCTTAGATTTTTGGCCAAAAATCTAAGAAGAAAATAAAATGTGGACATTTTTATAGTTTGTTAATTTAATAGAAATTTTTAAGATTTTCCCTCCTCCTTAAAATTAGAAGTGAAAATTTGTAAGTAAAACTAATGAAAGAAAAAGCTATATATATATACTTTACATATTGCTTTGTATGTTACAATCAGCCAACTGGTCAACTTATGCAAACCTCAGCTAAATTTGTGATACATCTTCATAAAAGATCATTATTATATGGATCAGGAAAAGAGTGACAACACTCATTTTCTTAACTAAGTCTTATTTATTATTCCTGTTGAATAACATAAACCATAACTATATGAATTATTACCAATAAATATAAGGAAAGTATTCTATATCAAAAGTCTAATTCTTCTTGATTGTGTTTGAATATATAATAGATCAAGCTCCATAGAATTGTCACCATATACTGATTTCTTGTTTCTTACCTGATTCCTTCCAAAAAGTTTTTTCTTTTTTCAATGTTAAAGATTATTATTTGTTATTATCCAATATGTAATAGATCACCAAAAAAACCTTATTTTTGTACCCCTCCTCCCAGGTTGTTCTTGATACCTTTTCCTATTCATAGTGATTCCACAGCCAATGACAGATTTTGAATTTGCTCTTTCCAATAAAATTTTTGTATTTCTTCCCAAAAGGAGAAAGTGGAGAAGATATATTTATCTCTCAGGAACATCTGTAGAGAATCCAGTCTGCATTCATGAATTCCCTCCCACTGGTTCATCATACCAAACGTAACAAAAAAAAAAAAAAAAAACTTTAATCATACTTGATTGTATACAGTAGAAACTTAATCCTATGCAGTTAACAAGACCCTGCTTATCCTTTCTTGGCCAAGAATTCGAATGAATGATAAACAAACTTTTGAACTCCACCATTTCTCCTCTCTTCACTAACTCTACTGTCCTCTCATATCTACTCTGAATCTCCTCCTTCCACACTCGTCCCTCATTCCCATTTTTTCTGCTTTTTCTCTCCTATTTTATGACTCTTTGTCTACCATTGTTTATTACTTTTATGACTGCATGTACATTGTATATGGGCTGACAAGACTGAGGTAGAGGAAAGAGTAGGTCCAATAGCATTACAACATCTCTCTTTTTTTTTGGGCAGATGTTTCTGGTTAGTAAAATGACAAATGAATAATAAATTTTAACATTTTTCAAAAACTTGTAGAACTAAATGTTTATTATTACTCTTTTATATATTTTTTGTAAACATTTGAAATCTCACACATGGGATAAGATTGCTTTTTATTTCTCAAAGCTGTTTTGTATTTTCAAAATGTAAACTAAAATATAACATGAAATGCTTTAAGTAATAAATGTTGTTCTTTTGTTTCTATGATAAGCAATAAAATAACAATAAATACCTAAGTCCTTTCTATGCTAGGTTTTCATATACAGAAGAGCAAACAAACATCAACCAAATTTGATAAGCTTCTAACTAATAAAATTTTTCAATTTTCCAGGGGTGATGTGTTTTTGAGAAACTTCTCTCTCCCTAATTATGAAGTTCAATCAGCTGAAGTGGCAAGTTATCTGTGTAAAGTCAGCCATACCATGTTACTCTGCCAAAACCAGTAAGTACCAAGTACTCTCTGCTGTCCTGACAGGCTGTTTACATAGCTAGTCACAATAAAAATTTCAGTTTCTTTATTGTTGTAACATAGTTCCTCACAGTACAAAGTGATAGAAAGCAATGCAACATGACACAAGGCTCAACATGAAACACTTGTCAAATGGAAAAAATCCATATTTTAAATTGTCCTAATAGTATCTTTGATTTTTGTCTTTTTAATTATATTTCTATGCCTTAGTCTTATTTTAAAATTATGAAGTATGGATAAATACAATTATTTTGATTATAATAAATGATCAAATACACACAGAAATCTGTCTTGTAGATGCTGATGTGTTTATCTTCTCCCTTTTGGGAAATGTTTTAATCTATCTTTTACATATCTTGGTATTACCCAGAAATTCATGAAATGAAATATTTGTTTTTAGATTTGCAAATGGGAACAAAACAACATACCATTATGATTTAAAATCAAGTACTGTAAGGTCTCATTTTATGCGGTGGATACATTCTGCAGAAAAGCGCATATAAAAAATTTGCATAAAAGAAAGACTTTACTTGCCTTGAAAAAGTAGGGATACGTTCTGTAATTTTCTAAAATCGCATAAAACCAAAACAATGAGTTAAAATTAACTTAAAACCGCATAAAAAAGTTTGCAGAAATTAAAAGAAATAGGCTGCTTAATAAATTACTTCGAATGTCTGAAAGAAATTCATATAAAAGCTTAAAATAAACTTGTATTCAAACTTAATTCAGTTTATTTTATTGAAAAGTAATACAAGGGGAATCCCCGAATTGCAAAAGCTCACTCTAAAAACAAATCACTGACATCTGGATGTGAAGAGTTAATTAAAACCCCTTTAGTTCCTCGCCCGAGTTAACTCGGGCAGGTTACATAGCGTTACATAAAACACGGTCCTTAAGGCCATTTTTGAAATTTTTTTTTGAATTTTTGGAATGTTTTTTAAGTCTCCAAATTTTTTAAAAATATTTAAAAATATACGGCCAGCTAGTGTTCACCCTACTTTAAACCCTTGTCCTCCCGCGACGTCTATGAGAATGCCCCGGGAAATCCAACTCCAGCTGTGTTCAAGGTCATCCAGATGTGTAAACAATGACTCATCGGTGTTAAATTTCACAGAAGGGCGAGACAAAGGAAGTTAAACTTTGAAGCTTTTTCTTCAAAATTAACGCATTTCTTTCGTTTTTTTCAGTTTTAAGTATTTTTTATGTTTAATTACATTTATATCACAAATTGCTAGGAACTAAAGCGATTAAGGTAGATCTAGCTGTCCTTTACATCCATAAACGTTATATGTCAGTGGAACAAATGGAGTGAGCTTTGAGTGTTCCACAATTTTTGGAGACTGTCTATACGCAGGCTTCCTAAACAAGCCTATATGTATGTTTGTCCAAGAAATTTTTGGATGAAATACAAACCGCACAACTTCAAAATCGCATAAAAATAATCTGCATAAAAAGAGACCTTACAGTATTTCTATACAGATTAATGCTACGTTAACATCCAGATTAGAATGTCTCTAGTGGTGGATTATGGAACTTGAATCATCATGCAAATACAATAAGCAAGAACAGGGATTCAGTATAGTAGAGTCATGATGTAGACAAATAGGAGCTTTTAAAAAAAAGCTGATACTAGTGTTGACTGTATTCTGATCATTATGAAAAAAGTTTGGAAGAAGATTTCAAGAAATTTTTTTGTATTTAGTTTTCAATTTTGTAGGTTTTTAACTACTCTGAGTATTATTTTTAGTTTTTAGTTCATATAATTTATCTTCTCCTTTAAATCCAGATATTTTTTTTTTTGCTTAATTTAAAGGCTTCTTGTTTTAAATTTTATCTATCCAGTCAGAGTGATTCCTAGTTTATTTTCTCCATAAAACAAAATCAGTGTCGAGTGCAAATTATTTCTGTATGAATGTTAATTTGGTGTTTAAAAAAAATTAAATCTGTATAATTTCATTTTAATTTATTCTTATTTCAAAACTTTGTGATTAATGTTCAGTGAAAATACAAATTTGACTATAATTGACTATTTATTTACAATATAATTAAATATAATTTAAATAAATTATTACTATTCATATAAATCAGCTAGGTGATTAAATTATTTAATTGTTGCTTTAGATATTGCTGATTTATATAATTAAATTATAATCAAAGTAATGCATTTCATTAAAGGCCATAGCTCAGTTACTATCATCAAGTAATATAAAAAAAGTATAGCAAATAAGATTTAGTTATACATTGAATTTTGTAACACAAAATGATTACTATATTATCCTACAAAATATGATATGCTATATTAAATTAAAAATTTGGTGTAGATGATAAAATATTTTCAAAAAAGCTATCTTATCATCTTATTAAAAATGTATGAAAATTTCTGATGACAAAGCATTAATTAAATTCTTATAATAAATTTAATGATTCTAAAATTTTTCCACCATGCAGCTAATGTAGGAAATACAGTAAACAGATATGTTGCAATTTATAATAATTATATTATTAGTAAAACAGTTTTGGTTAAATTCATAAAATTATTTGTAGAGAGAGAAGATAAAAGAAATGCAGACTGTTACTTAGAGAAAGTCTCCAGATTAAACTTCAGATGCATTAGAATAAGCAGCAGCAGTGGCCTTTAAATTAATCTAATCTACAAAAATATGTACTTTGATTACGTGGAGGTTCTAGTCGATAACCAACATATTGACACCATCCAACAGGGAACAAATCAGGGCTTTCACAGTCACACCATTGGTCATAAGTTTCATCCCAACCATCAAAATGTATTCTTAGTAAACGACCTACAACTTTTGTAACTGCACCAACACATATTAGACGTGGCTCCATTAAATCAACAGCTTCTAAATACATTCCTTCTTTAAATCCATGATTTGGAATATCCTAAAAAAGTTATCATAATTTGTGTAAATTCATTGTAAATTATTATATAACATACTTTTAAATAAAACTGTGTCAAATTTTAATAAATAAAAATTTACTATATAATTATCCTCTTTAATTGGGCTGCAATGTTCAAATTGCAAACCTATACATTTCCACTGTCCTCCATCCATCCTTTATTAATCTCAAGAACACAGATAGATGAAAATCAAGAACAGATTGGAAAGACTGGAGGCCCCAATTAAAAGAAACTCAACAGTCAATGTGGATGAAGTGCATAGTTTATACCAGATAAAAACAAAATCACACTGTTGTAATGCTTGCACAAGTTAGTCATTGCACATGTTACGAAAACATTTTCAAGTACCAACTTACAATCCTCTGACATATGCTATATGGAATGTCATGTTCCACTGACAAATGTTACAGCAACTTCTTTGGACTCTAAATCAATGTCTGTACAAGTTCTCCTCTCTGCTTGTCATGCACTCTTCATTCAATGTGAGACAAAGTCAGACTCACTTGGAGGAACTTCTGGTATTATTTCAGAATGTTTCAATGTGATAGAACATGGTGACACTTATAAATTCACCAGAACTCTCTCTGGACACAAGTACCTTCTCCCATTTTGCATACCATACTAAACACTAAGTCCTCTGCTGTGGTGTGACCACCATTTTGTGTTCTCATGCATGTGTGCCATCATACAGCAGAGTACTAAAATGAATATGCATCATCCCAAAATTGACAGCCTTCACACATGTACAGTGCATAACATTTACTAACTTCTAATTGCATTACTTTATTTGCTATACACATTTTTAATTTTATGACATTCCAAATAAATCATCCTATAAATATAAATATTTTACTCTTTATAGATTTTTCTTAAATGAACAGAAAAGAAAGTTGTTAGTAAAAATTTAATTTAATTTAAAATATAATGAGCAATTATTTATTGCTCATTTTATTTTAAATTATATTTAATTTTTAATCATATTCTTAATTTATTAAATTTAACAAATATATTCTCAATCTCAAATTAGTAGTGACTTGCCCCTGTACTGTACATCACATTTTTCCTGTTAGCAATAGAATCATGCCAGTCATCTATTAACTGCTTTCGGGGGAAAACGTTTGAATTGAAATCACATGACTTCCTCTCTACACTGGATGTTTTATATAGGTAATCGGAGCCTCCTCTCCAAGCTTTCTATATCTAGTCTTTCTATATTTCATCTATCTAACTCTGTTCTTGAGATTAAGTAAAGACAGACAGATGGACAACAGTGGGAATTTATAGGTCTACAGTTTTTCAAATTGCAGTCCAATGTTACAGAAAATTTTAAATGACATTGACAAAACATAAGTATACTAGATTTCATAGGATATTTTAATATACTACAATAATTATTTTAATTACAATTTAAACTATTGAAAATAATGGTATATTTACTCAGTTCTAACGTAATGAATATTTCTAAAAATGTAAATAAAAATAAAGTAGAACCTCATTTTAACAGATTGCTCAGGATGTCAAAAATCATCTGTTTTTCTGAGAATCCAATATATTGCAAACAATTAATTTCTCACCCACACAGGAAAATATATATTATTTAACCACCTACATAGAAGAAATTCTTAAAGTTGAAATTGTTTAGCCTCTTGAGATCTCTATTCTATAGAAACATGTACATTACAAGATCATATGCTGTACGTGTACATGACAAAGGTGATGAAAACTATATACAGTAAGAACAAAAACAGGCAAATTACATGTGCTCATTAGCACTTAATTAACTTGACTTTAATTTGCTAAAAAACTCATCCATTTTGATTTGTTTGATGCCACTTCTCTGCTTATTGAATACAACAACCTCTTGATATTAGCCATGTCATGTATAGCCTATTTGTTTAATTCATTTATGATGAAACTTGTCAGAAATATCTTTATGACTTGGAAAAACTCAATGTTCTCACTACATTTTAGCACTACGCTTGGAACTGCATCATAATGTTTACTAGGTGGACATTATGATGCAGGTCCTTACATTATGTTCACTCCTCCTCAATTATATCAGCCTGCTGACTCTCTTCATACAATTTTTAATTGTACTGTACAATACATATCCCAGATGTTCATCTTCAAACTCTGTAAATTCCAGAAACACCCAACTATTAACTAAAATTTTAAAAAAATATGAAGTTACAATAGATGGTGCTAGAAAAAAAATCTGTTACTTTAAGTTATAGATCCACTAAATAGTAAAATTACATTGATTTGATGGAACCTGAAAAAATAATTCATTATTCTGTGATCTGTTAAAATGAGATTCTACTGTATTGTGAGAATTACACCAATCTTACTGATATTTCAAAGGTTTAAGATTAAAAATAGCAATGCTCATTCTCATTTATAATGCAAATCTTTCTTAAAAAAAAAACTTTAAAAAATTCTATTAAGAATCCTTTAAAATTTAGCTAAAACATACATAAACATAAAATTAAAAATACATATATGAATATTATAAATAAATTAAATTTTTATTTGTTGAAAATTAAAGTTTATTTAAATTCTAATGGCAAAAAAGATAACTTTTATTACTAACTGGTCAACACGATGCATCAGCATATTAAACTTATATCACCAACTATGGTTACAATTACAATGGGTAGCGTGATCCCTATTGTAAATCTTAAAGTTTGGGGACAGAGACTGATGAGACAATGTAAGCTATTCATAGAATGATAGTTTACAGGTCAGATTGAATCCTTAATCACTTTAATATTAAAAATACAACAAAGTTTATATTTATACGTGGGGCATTCAAAAAGTTCTTGAAAACTGTAAATTGAATTTAGCACTTCATTTTTCAACATATGTTCCATTTAAGTCAAAACATTTTTCCACACAATGGTGCCACTTATCTAAGCTCTTCCAATAGAAATCAGTGCTGTTTGATTCTAGCCGCTGTACTACAAAACATTACTTAATTATCGACTGCCAGCAAATGACTTTAATGTCTCTTTTTTTAATTTGGGAATGAAAAAAATTCTGATGTGATTAGATCTGAAGATCTGCAGTAAAACAAATCTCAACAAGATTACATTTGCATCAATTAATTATAAATATAGCATTCTGTTTAAGAATAATAACCATTTTCTGGGAACTTCTTGAATGCTCCTTGTACATGCTTCTTAATAAAAAATATGACTTTAATCAATTTTTTAACTAAACCATTACAAAATAGCAAAGAGCCAATTACTTTGCTAAAAATTTGGTCCAATGAAAGTTAATATTTTTAAGTTATAATAATCTAAAACAAACAACTCATGCATTTAAACAAAAAATTGTATATGCTAAGTTAATTAAATTCATAGTCTATACACCTTTTTGTTTAAATCTATTAATAGAAACTTTCATTTTAGCAATAACAATCACTTCTATAACTACTTCACATACCTTTTTAAACAAAGCAACAGGAGCAGCAACTGACTTAGTATTTTTGAGATATTCAAACCATTTGAATTCTCCTTTATGACCTAAGAAATTTCAGTTACAAAACTTATTAGTGAAATTTAAAATTGTATGTCAAATTTTTTTCACTTATATTCCTGTTTTGCCAAATTTGATAAATATTTAATACAGAAGAGCCTCGATTATCCGACCCCCGATTAACCGACATCTCGGTTAACCGACCGTCCTAGTCGGCAAATTTCAAATGTCCGCTAGTGATGTGGCGCTACAATATTTGGCTATGTCTTGGCTACTTTAATATTATTTTTACGTGTTTTAGCTGGCAACACTCATTCGACCATGAAAGGGAGCCAGTATTTAAACGAAGCTTAATTTTCTAATTTTTAACGATACAATAGCGACGATTATTATTTTAAAAAATTTTTGTTAGGCTTAACATCGATGAAAATTCAACGCAAAATAGGTTAATAGCGATATACTAATATACTAATTACATGGGATATAATAATATACTACACTAATAATGGATTTTTTCATACTTTTCGGTTATCCGACTTTTCAATTATCCGACCAACCCCAGTCCCCAATTGAGTTGGATAATCGAGGCTCTACTGTATTTTTATCTTTAAATTATAAAACTTTGTTGTTAATAAGCTACATACCTTAATTTTACACTATATTTTAATTTTCTAAATTAATTTACCTCTTGGAGGAGTTAACTCAATATTATTTAATTCACAAAATCCAACAGGAAATATACAAGGTGATGAGGCATGATAACAAAACCAGTCAGAACCATTCGCTGCCATCATACCGTCAATACCAATCATGAGATAATTGTTTCTTAACACTTTAGTTACTGTTGCAACACAAACAGTTGATAAGTTCAGAGGATCTATTGCTTCTAATTTCATTCCTTCTTTAAATTTAAGCTCTGATAAGTTTTTGACCTAAAAATGGATTAAGTGATACCCAAAAAGTGGTTTAATATCTATTAAAATGGTTTATTACTTTACTAAATTTAATACTCACAGGAAGAAACATATCCCAAACTGCATCATCTGAATCAAATTTTTTAAGAAGAGTTTTTTGCAAAGATTTTTTTGCATACTCTGTAAAATTCATTTTATTAACACAAATTAGCATAAGGACATATTAAAAAATATATCTACAATTAATAAAATTTTACACATAATATAAATTTTATACTAAAATTTTGTACATCATTTACATTTTGTATTTTTCATTCTGAAATTAAATAATATAAATACCTGGAGTAGCACGTAAGTCATGTCCTACTATTTGAGCCCAACCAATAGGATGAATAAGAGGAGAACGTTCATGGCACCAAAATCCCTCATCCTCTTCTGCTGTTTCATAAGCCACGTGAAGTCTACCTCCAATTACTTCTATGACTTTGGCTACTCTAACAGCTGAAATACGATTCTTGTCAACAACTTCTAATTTCATTTTTTGTTGAAACCGACTTTTCAGACCCTCTTTAACCTATTAATTAAAAATTTTTATAAAAAGCTGTTAGAAATATATACATAATAAATTTAAAAGCTATTATAATATCTTTATAATCATTTCCTTAATGCTTTACCATAGATAGAAATGGAAAACTACAGACAAGAATGTTTAGCATGAGAAAAATCTTTTGTAGAGTTGAAACTAAAATCTCAAATACTATACTAGGGATAACAGACTTATCACACTGCTACTGATAACATCAAAATGACACCTATATCATCAGAATGCAACTTTATTACTGGTATGCATTTTGATATACAAGACCCTCATCAACCATTCATAAATCTCCATAAATTCTGCATTGAAAGCAGCAGGTTAAAAGTGGATAGAAAGCATTAAAGGACCTAATAAATAAAAATAAAGAGAAACGTTATATTGGGTTGTTCGGAAAGCAATTTTGTTCCTTTTACCACTAGACGGATTAGTCGTATTTTTCCCACCATTTTCATTCTAAACCATATTATCATTATATATTTTGACAGCTAGCATTTTAAGGCTTATTTGTAAAAAATTTTGTTTGATTTTGTGCAATTGTTTATTTTTTGTGTCCCATCAAATATGGAAGATCGAAAACAGCCTTTTCAGCATATTTTGCTCTTTTATTATCAAAAAGGTAAGAATGCTGTTCAAGCAAGAAAAAAATTGTGTGACGTGTATGGAGAAGATGTATTGACAGAACGAGTGCCAAAACTGGTTTACAAAATTTCGTTCTGGCAATTTCAATATTGAAGATGCACCACATTCTGGATGGCCAGTTGAAGCCAATGAAAACAAAATAAAGGTACTGATTGAAGCAAACTGCTGAATAACAACACATGAAATCCTAAGAAATTAAATTTGTCAAATTGAACTGTTTATGATTACTTGAAACAAATTGGTTTCGTTTCAAAGCTTGATATATGGGTTCCACGTGTTCTTAAAGAGAGATGCTCTCTTTGGTGGAATTTTAAGAAAAAAATTTTTTTTTGGAGCTTTTACCAGACAATTTAACAATTGATTCAAAAGTGTATTGCCATCGAGTAAACACATTGAGTAATATTATCAAACAGAAAAGGCGGCCAGAATTGATCAACAAAACAGGTGTAGTGTTTTACAATAATGTCAAATTTCACCCAAGTTTGATAACTCATCAGAAACTGTTATAACTTAGATGGGACGTTCTATCATACCAACCATATTCACCAGATCAAGCACACTCAGATTATTACTTGTTCCAGTCTATACAAATTTTTTTTAACTGTAAGACATTTACTTGAAATGACAATGTCAAAAATCACTTGGATCAGTTTTTTGTAAGCAACGATCAAAACTTTTATAAATGTGAAATCATGCTACTACCAGAAACCATGACAACAGGTATTTGACCAAAATGGTCGATATATAATTCAATAAAATATTTATTTATTATAAAAATACAGTAGAGCGTTGTTTATCCAAAAGCATTCCAGTCAGCAAATTTAAATTTTCGCTAGTGCTGTGGCGCTGCAATCTTTGGCTATATCTTGGGCTACTCAAATATTTTTTTTGTTGGTGTGTGTTTTTTAGCTGGCAGCACTGGCACTTTTGTCTGGTGTTTTTCTGAGGACTGTGTGTCGTGCTGAATCGAACGTTTTTGATACTAGATCATCTTCTAAAGTATATATTTTTTGTCTTTTTTTTTATTTTTCAATATTTTTCAATTTATTTTGTTTGTAAGAAATAAAGAAATAACTTTTAATGATACAATAGCCATGATTATTATTTTAAAAGGTATACATTAGGTTTAACATTGACGAAAATTCAACATGAAGCGACACGCAACGGAGAAAAATTTCAACACAGAATAGGTTAATATATTTTTTCGTACATAATCGGTTATCCAAAAAATAAGTTATCCGAACAACCTCAGTCCCCAATTGATTCGGATAAACGACGCTCTACTGTATTCTATTTTTTCCACAGAAAAAAAAAAAATTACTTTCCAAATAACCCAATACAGGTACTGGTAGCCTGATCAGTTCAGAGTCTGGAAAGCAAGAGCAACTTAATAAGTTGTCACTTAGAAATTGGAATCATTTTTGAATAATTTTTTAATGAATAATACTGAATAACACATTTGGTCACAGTGCATAAACAGTATTTCACATGTGCTGTCATGTCAAAACTTTTATGCTTTAATCTACAAAAAAAAAAAAAAATCAAAGTGGGAAAAAAATGTCATCCAAAAAATTCTTCAACCGGAAAACGCTGGGTGACATTGCATGAAAACTGCCTTTGTTTCTCAACCTCTCTTCCTGCTCCCCATGACACCATGACATCGCTAATGTGTGGTGCATGAGATCTCCATGAGACTCCTTCCAGAAGCTTGACATTCTGAAGCATGCTTTGAGATTCAATTTCATGCTGAATGTTGAAATAACCTGACAGGGTTTATAATGCCACTTGCTATGCAGTGCAACCAGATACATACACACATGCAATACAGATTATGTATATTTATTAAATATTCTTTTTATTTATTGTTTCCTAGTGAAGTATTAAATATAAGATATACTTATTCCCATTTTTGATCATTTGAATTTATTATGAAAAGTACAGTACCTGTTTTCAGTTATCATTACTAGTAAAGTTGCTGGTATTTTGTAAGAAAAGTATAAAAAAGTACAGGTTCTTTCAAAAAAAAAAAAAAAAAAAAAAGCTATCATTTTAAATTATTGTAATTATGTTAATTGCTAATGCCTACAATTATTATGCAAACATTCTTTTGTACATTCTTGTATTCTGCACAACTGCAGAATACAAAATGTCTTCTCTGTTGCAGATTCATCATTTTTATTTAAGGCACTTCCTAGAGGCAGACGGTAGATGATATTCTATCAATTAATGTATAATGCATACTTCTCCAGTAATAATTTATAATTATAGTAATTAAAAATGGTAGCATTATTTTTGAAAGACCCTGTATAATGATTGGCTTCAGTTTTACTTATTATAGACAGGTATGATCAGTAGTGTGCTGAGAAAAGAGAGATAACCAATAACAACATACTGATCTGAACTACCCATGAAAAATTACAAGGATCGAAATGAGACAGGAACCCAAATTACTCATGGCAATTTCCTTATTGCTTGGCCATCATGCATATATTCCTTTTTATTTCTCAGCCTCCAAAAAATTATTTGGTAACATAAGACATCAAAAATATAAGAATATAGAGATTAATTACAGTTCTTAGCAAAATTATATTTTTAATAAAATCTTTTGTAATAATTACCTTTATATGGAAATTTGCTGGTAGTGTTCTTGCCCCAGTGAGGCGTTTTACTAAAAATTCTTTCCAATCATTATATTTATGTTCAATACCTATATACAAAATAATGAATTTTATTACATCTGTAACTAACAAATATAATTTATAATTTGATGCAATTATATAAACATAGTTTTTTCATAATTTTAATCAGAACTTTTGTATTAATTTTTAAAAAGAAGTGTAAGTCTATTATAAAACTTAATATTAACAAAAAGTTGTTTTATGTAAATTATATTTAGTAAATAATATAATTTATAAATTTAGGAAAGTAAACACATTTGTAATTATTAAGAAACTGCTTTATGGGGATATACAATTAAAGTGATAATTTTTGTTTTTATTTGTAATGATAAACCAGTATATAAATGTCAATTTACAGTACAGAACAAATGAAAAATAGATTAATTAATGAACAATATTGTGCTATGTTGTTTTTATCTTTGGCCTGTGAAGTACAGATATCTTGTAGTAAATACAAGTTGTGATTTAAAAAAAAAAAACTGGATTTTTTCTATAAATATTTTAATACTTAACTAATTTAAATCTGACTATCATCCCCTTTGAAATGGTTCCCCTCTGCATTTATACAGCAATCCCAACACATCTGCCAAGCTTCAAATACTCCTTGGAAATTAGTCTTGAAAATTCTAAATCACCTGCTATGATTTGAACTGGATCTCCTCAATCACATTCAAACACTATCACTTGAGCACAAGGGGCTACATCCACAAATAGAAAGGGTAGAGAAAACTGCCACAATGTTTTCATAAAAATGTTCATATTTTGAAGGCTGTATGTGCAGGACAATTGTCATAATGAAGGAGGTAGAATCAGTTGCGCCACAGTTCTGGTCATCTGTGACAAATGTCCTTATGCAATCACCTTAAAACATCACTGTAAAAATCTGAATTCACTGTCTAACAATAAGGAGTTTTCTTCGTATGATATTCCATTACGGTCAAAAAACTAATTAATGTGCTCTTCATCACATTCATGACTTGCTTTGCTTTCTTTGGTCGTGGACAATTGTGATGTTGCTCATGGCTTCATTGCCATAAGCTTCCTAAAGCACTTCTTAAATCTAATGGAAAACTTAACATGTGTTTGTTACTCAATTTTCAAGTTCATTCTCAAATCACAGCATGACACTAATACAAAGTTATAAAATCACATGTAACAAGCATTCCACATTGAAAAACTCAATACCACTTATCAGACTGATGCTTAAATGTCTAATGCAGAAGTCGCCAACTGGTGGTCTGCGAGAAAATTTTGGTGGTCCTTGGAGAAATTCAGACATTGATCAACTCAAGGTTACATGAAGTATTATGAAATAAATGCAAAATGCTTGGTCACTTATTGAGGGATGTTTTATTTAAATCTAAAACCAAACACAAAATGGCTGTTATCAATAAATAATAATGTCAATAAATCAATAAATAATCAGCAATAAATAATGTTGTGAGTGCAACTGTTGTTCTTTGTGGAAACAAGCCAAGAATCCATAAACTTATTTCAAACAAGCAGCAATAAACTTTACAGTAATTTGTTATAAGTAAATTGTCATATTAATAAATTAAATTTTTATGATCATTTTTATTATTCTTTAGATGTTTGTATCATTTTAAAAAACTCATGATAGTGGCCTACAAGATTCAAAATTGAGAATTTAGTGCTATGTGAAGTCAGAAAAGTTGATGACCACTGGTCTAAGGCAGTGGATCCTTGATGGTAAAAAAAATTGTACTTTGTGATACCATCAGAAAGTGAAAACAGCCCAGTTTCTTTTTGAGATATCACATTCTTAGTTAAGATATAGTATTATACTGGCAATGACATCAGTGGAAATGTTTTCTATGGAAGAGAACAATGTCAATAGCTGCAGGTCACTAACCTCTAATCTAAAATATATTCATATAACTCATGCAACATCTAATTGTAAATCTAAATCAGATATAAAAAACTAAACAATTACAGAAATGGAAACTCTATTTCTTTTTATGATTAAATTGAATTCTAATCTCAATCAAATGATTTAATACAAATGTATTAAATAATTTTTAAACATATTTTAGTAATGTAATTTCTTCAGAAAATTTTTTAAAATATAAATAACATTCTATAATAAAACTTAAAGTAAATATTTCAATATTCAAATAATGTTCAAAACAACTGCCTTTAAAAGCATTAAAATTTGATTATTTTCTATAAAACAATAAATTTTGTTTGCCTAATGTTAAACAGTTAAGCTCTTTATTTGTTAAATAATTAGTATGTTAAATTGAAACACACACATAGTTGCAAAATGCATAAAGACATTTTTCATTGTAAATTCTGATAATTTATTTAAGAAAAAGAAACACTTTTGTACATCATTTTGATTAACTGAGCTATATAATCAGAATTAAAATATTGTCCAGTGGAATTACTGTATGAGATCAATGCAGTGGTTATATAAAAATTACATCAATTTCAACTATAAATTAGTTAGTTATAATTTCTGTATTATTTTTTTTTTTATTAGTATTTGCATTCAATACTAAACCTGTTTATATTTAAAATGGATATATTGTCACTTGTTGTCTGGAACACATCCTAATTTATTTTGCACTGATTCTGTTTATACTGTGTCCTCCTTCTAGTATACAACAAGCAAAAATTATTGTGATGTTGTCACAATGCCAGGCTGCAATTTTTAATCATATTCTTAATTTATTAAGTTTAATATACATATTCTCAATCTCAAATTAGTGCTGTCTTCCTCTTGAACATCATACATTTCTTGTTAGCAGTACAGTCATGCTGGTCATATATATAACTCCATTCAAGGAAAACTTTTTGAATTGAAATCACATGACTTCCAGTCTAGACTGGAAACTTGGATCTCTTGCCCTATGCTTTCATATCTGGTATCGATTTTCATCTATCTAACACCATTCTCAAGATTAAGGAAGGACAGATAAACACACAGATGAATGACAGTGGAAATTTGTCTACAATTTTTTCAAATTGTAGTCCAATGAGAGCAGCCTGTAAGATATGCATAAGTCAATATCTATAATTACAAAATTTGCATTTTATACTTACTTTTAGGTGGTATAAGTGGTTTTCCTTGAGAAGCACACCAACCTACAGGATGTATATTCTCTGTACACAGATTTACCCAAAAATCTTTACTGTTATCTGTACCAAAGCCTTCATACCTCAACTGAGCCATATAACCTAAAAAATATTAAATTTTAATTATAGAATATACAAACTATAAACAATATTAATAAAATAATTGAAGCAGATAGTGTGGAAGAAAGGTAAGGCACATTTTAACAGACAAAAGAGTTAATAAAGTTAGTTAAAATCTGATAATAAATCCAGCTTTATTGTATAATTATCTATACTAATATTATAAAGAGGTAATGTTTTTATGTATGTAAGTTTGTATGCAGCAGGTAATATCCAAAACTACTCATCTGATTTCAAAAATTCTTTCACCAATATTTAGAATGGAACTTCAGGGTGGACATAGGCTGTATATTATTCCATTAAACATTCATATAAATTAAATTAAAAGATATAATCTNCCGTTAAACATTCATATAAATTAAAAGATATAATCTAGGTTAAGGCTTTTATGTCCAACAGATGGTGCTACGAGTACGACGCCCTAAGTTTGCTTTCCTGTGAGGCATTACGCTTTTCTGTGAAAATGAACTAAAGCAGATCGTCTTCTATCTATATAAATAAAAATGTAATGTTCATTTGTTCCTACTGATTCCTTTGAAATTTTGACACAACGCTGCATTCAAATATGCACATGTTTTTATATAATATACATGTCGAAATTCAACCCCACTGAAGGGAGATGGTTAGGATTAAGGCTTATAGTAAAGAATTCTGCTTCTATTTATACTATTTTAGATGCGGGTTTTTGTGTTTTTGATTGCGTTTTAATAGGGTACGTCAAGAGAATGTACACTAAGAAGAAATTTTTCGAAAAATTTCCCCCCATGGGGGAAGTGTTATAAATTTATAATAGATACATTTTGAGCCACAACAATGCATGGCGGGGTCTGCTAGTTTATATATAATTTTGGCTTGATTTTCTATATGATAATAAACTACTAACATTAATATTATGTAATTATATTAACATAATATTAAACTGCTACATCATCAAAAATTTTAATTTCTTTTCTACTCTTCTATTATAGCAGAGAAGTTCAACATGAAAATAAGTTACTCAATGATTCTATGTTATCACTAAAATAGATCAGTACTGTGTCTAAAAAAAGAATGACAACAGAAACATAATAATTAAACATGTAAGTTACTTTTACACCATTACATATAATGAAAAAATAAGCAAAATTTCAATAACCATAAAAAGCATCTAAATTAATAAACTTTTTTAAAACTATATCCAGAAGAATGAAACTTCACTGCCAACATTTTGGCTTTCTTTGAAGTATTTCACATCTAACTTAACTGAAGATTTTCTATTGTAATAGAAAATAAACATGTTAAATTAAAAACAATTACTTTAGGAAACTAAATAAATTGTGAGCCCAAGGGTTTACAGGGCGTAAAATTTTTGAGTTTAACATATTTTTACATTAGAGGATGAAAAAAATTTATCACACGTTATAACGGAAATAGAGGATGGCAGATCTTACACATCGTCCGTTTGTTAATTAGTCAATGTGCGCGTGATAGTTAGTCAGCATAATGAGTGAACAACCTGTTGGCTCAGTGCCAACGACGATCGTATAAAAACGATCGTCACGGGAAGTTCAGGGCAATCGTCCCCTCAGTGCAACCGTCCCTCTGCGAGATCATCTGGAAGGTCTGAATACAGTGTCTCCCGTCCCGATCCTGTCCAAGGAGAAGCCGGTAGAAGATATAAGCCTGTGACAGACAGCCAGCTTCCATAGTCCAGGATGATCGTCGCATACCGTCCTCCAACATAAGGTATAATTGACCGCCAATATAACTCTCTTACTCTAGAACCTTTGTAAACTCTCTCACAAAGCATAGTGAATAGTTAGAGCGATTATAGATATATTTATATTTCCGCCTCTAGGCAATAATCAGTAACTTGTATACTCCTGTAAATTACTTTAGTAATAAACATTTATTTCGTTATTTGTTAAACCTGTCTCCTGTCTATCCGAGGAAACCTGTCAACTTACCGACGCACTCCCCACTCGATTTGCCCTCCTAGCCATCCGAACGACTCAGAGATCGGGCTTTACCAGCCTGTGCAGATTAAGTGGTCAGTACCAGATTAACCCATGACCCACTGCGTATCTCACAAAATGCTATAACAGGTTTAGTTTATGACGCTAAAAGAAGTTGTTAAATGTTGTTTAACCTAATTGTTATTGATTTTCTCAATATTAGTGCTAATGTTTGAGAGCACACTGAACATAATGTCTTTAAAATTATTTTTGTTGTTAATTAGCCATTAAATAATTTTAAAAGTATTAGTTCAGCTAATATCAAGAGTGATATTTTATAGAAGCCATTAAATATCTTTAATAAAAAGCTGTGGATAAAATTTTAATAAATTTAAATATGTTTCATAAGACAGCATCAAAAATTGAGTAACAATAAAAAATATATATCAAAAAGCAGTTTTAGTAACTATCAATTAATTAAAGAGCAATGAAACTAGAACAATTGAAACTAATATTAGTTATAATTAAAAATGAAGAAAATATGAAAGAATTTCATACTAAGAAGAAAAGATATTGAAGATCTTTGAACTATTTTAAATTAAAGTCAGCAATTTTTTTGTCTTCTTAACCATAAAATTAAAAAAATGTGTAAATATTTAATATTGTTGACTGGATACCAATAAAATGAAAAGCAAACTAAAATAACATTAACATGCTTTTACTCAGTATAGTTAAATCTGATTAATTTGAATTTGTTGTTATTTGTCTCAAAATCATACATAAATTACTTTTTTTAACATTAGCATTTGAATGAATGTTAAAAAGTAAATACAATTAGTTCAAACTTTTAAAATTTTAAAATATATATTTGAATAATTCAAAGCTATGTATCTCATATTTCATAACAGAAACTAAAAAAAAGTAACATGTAGTCAACTGATTTATAAAATACTTTGCTTTGGGAATTCTCTGAAATGCACTGTCATAAATCAGATTTAACTTTTCTGTAACTAATTATAAGAAAAAAAATATTATTTTTAACTCAAACCCATTATTTTCAATAAATTACACTTCAATCGAGTATAGTATTATATATTTCAAAGTAGTGCTATTTAGAGATAATATTTAACATGAAAGTTGCTATAAAAATTTTGAGATGTATAAAAGTTTATGGATTAAAATTAGTTTCATAGCATTCTCATTCATTGTTTGACAGACAACAGTTCGTAACTTCAACTGCAATCATTTTCTAGTAATTCATCTAAACAGATATCAAAATGTTGGAATTAACATGTGATTATCATGTTATTTTCATTGTTCAATTTTAAACACAGAAAATTCATGTTTAACTGCAGAAGACTATTTTTTAGAAATGAAAAAATATTTCATAATAATGATTTAAGTTGAGTCTTTCTGCCTTTCAATGGTAAAAACAATTTGAAAGAAAAAAGTTTAACAATCATCCACAATCCATATGTCCAGTGTAAGCAGTTACTAGTAAAATATTACCAAATTCAAAAATTACTGGATGCAGATTGCAGAATTACAAGCACATAAAATAAAATTTTGAATAACTTTCTCCACTTTTTTCTGCATTTGCACTACAAAAAGAAATTGAACATGTAGTTTTTCTGTTATACAAAGTACAGTAAAACCTGTCTATGGCAACCACACACAGTTCCTTTCAAAAAGTGGTCTTTTAGATAGGTGGTAGTCCAATGCAAGTGCTGTCATACCGTATTTCTGTACATATTTTGTGCACTTTTTAGCCATTTCTACTAAGCAAAACTCAAGGTGAACAAAAATAAGCAAATTTTTTCAACACTAGAGCTACATTGATATTGTATTAATATTTATTCTTATCGAATAACTTGATTAACAGGAGTTGTCAGGATTTTATAAGACAGATTTAATACCAATATTTTAAAGATTAATACAGTATTTACATTTTTTCATTATAATGCAAAGTTTCTTTTTTCTGACTTAATTAATTCAACTTGGTTGTTCTCTTCGTTCGTTCCTCAGTTATGTGTATTACACCATCGATATAGAAGCACATCATATCCCACTACTTCAGTTTTGGTTTTCATTAGTTTAATCTTATTTTAACTTTAAAAATACTGTATTTTTTAAATATTTAATATTTTCTTAATTAATTAAGTACAATAAGAAAAATTATTCATTAATAATAAAACAATTTTATTATTTCTTCTCATAATACAATTTCATTACATCAATGACAATCACGGAGTTGAAAAAGGAAGGTTGCCTGTAAAACTGATTTTTGCATTAATGCATTTATTGTTTTTTGAATATTTTGTGTGCAAAAGTTACTTGGATATTATTTTTGTTTAAGTATCATGAAAATAAAAGGTAGGTTGAAACAGAAACTGTTTATCACACATGTAGTGTACATGAGCTTCAAAAAAATAAATAAAATAAATTATATCAAATGATGAGATCAGCCAATTAATTGTATCGTGTACAATATTTTTATACTCCTAAGGAAAATACTGTAGGTCTACAGTACAATAAATTGTGTTTTCCCACAGTTAAACTTTGCCGCTAATTGCCGTTGTGATAAACCATTTTCAGTTTCTCTGATAACTTTCACATGATCTTCTAACAACAGCACTTTGCATTTCTTTCATTTTTCAGACATTTTCAAACAAACTGAAATAAATTTCCTTTGTAGCTGGATTAATCCATTAACATCTGAACCTAATTTCAAGAGTGGGAGAAGTGCCCGACGTGGGTTAGAACTAAGAGTTTAAACCAGATGTATTTGCAGAAGTGGTCATTTATTACAGTTATTGTATGTCGTTTCCGACCAAAAATTGATACTCACAAATGCCTTACACAGGTGGTCATTTAATACAGGTAACTTATACAAAAACTATGTATAAACTATTCTGTGCCAGAAATTTTTCCCCATTTTGACACGTGCCCATCGAATGCAGGTGGTCACCTAAGCAGTTTTTACTGTATTTAGTACAAAGTACACCAAGAAAAGATTAGTCTTTTTCTTGAAGCAGCACTATCCAAATGTAGATTATATATTTTGGCCAAATCTGGCCAAAACACAATCTATATTCACAAAAACATAATTGTTACTTTTGACCAATATTGGATATGATATATTAGTTATGAAAACAAAGTGCCATTATACTCCAATTAAAACAAATCAAATGGTTTTGATATTAGTTAGAGTAGAAAATGTAGGACAAAGGATGAGAAACCAATTTCACTGTAGAACTTCACAAAAGAATTCAGAGCAATCTTTGCCAATGTACAACTTAAAGACTTCCAGAATCTTTTGAAACATGTGAAAACAAAACGTTGAAAGGTAGCAGACCATGATTTAGATTTAAGTTCATTAAACTTAGACTGCTCAAACATGTTTACTTTATAACATGATATGAATGCTTTATATTCTATACATATATATGAAGTCATTTTAATTAAGACTTTATTGCAATTGTGCAATAAAGTCTTAATTTTCTAACCAGAAGTGCTGTGAGACTGTCAACCAAAAAGTTTTTGGATTAAAGTGACTTCATATATATGTTTTCTTTAATTTATTTTATGTACATTGTTCAATTTGTAACCCCACAATTTCCAGAATAAATTCATTTCTTATTCTGGATTTTTAGTTTATATACTCTTATATGCAAACAGAGACAACACTGAAGACTGATGCACTAGTACTTCATGCAATTCTTCATGAATATTTGCAAGTATGAAAAGTTTGTATGCTATGGGTCCTATACAAATTGTTAAATAAATAATGTAATTTCAAACTAAAATAGTATTGAAAACACTGAAAAAAATAGGAAGAAAGGTAATGAAAGATAGGTAAATCCCATCGCCATAAAGAAAAAACCTAAATTTATTATTATAACATTCCATTTAAACCACATAACAAATTATGGATTACAGAAATTGAATAAATATCAACAAAATGAAGCAGTTGCTGTAAGTGACAAATGATGATTGTAGTTCTCTTCAAAAAACAAAGAATTATATAATGAGTAGTACTCAAAAAACAGAATACTCTAACTGTAAAATAATACACTGAAGTTTGGTTACCAAATCTTATCAACTCATTAAAGGTACTTTGTCCTCATCCATAACTGGACAAATGGCATTTTTATGATAATAATGCTCCAGAACATCAAGCTTAGATAAAACAAATGTTTCTGAAAAATTTGATTCTATTTGTTGTTGAACATCCACCTTTGATCTCAGTTCCACTGATTTTCATCTCTCTCCATTTATAAAAGTGCAACTGAAAGGCAGTGCCACCTTAACCATTGGGCTACTAGGACTACCCTAGGGCACCTGGCACCATACCCTGAGGATGCCAGTCACTACCAACTCACAAAGGTTTTTTCATATTTCATTTATTTATTTTTACTGATGAAATTGTCTTTTATACTTTTATAACATTATAAATGAATTGACTTTTCAATTTTATTTTAATTTATACCAGTATTCTGATGTAAAATGAAAAATGAGCACCTGGTATTGTTATCCTAGGACATTTAAATTATTAGGACAGCCCTGCTGAAAGGGCAACATTTTTTGATAAATAATGAATTCATCACAATCAAACCTGTTTCAGATTCACCTTTAGAAGAGCCTGAAGAAATATTTAATAAATGGTTTAAATACATGCAAAAGTGTTTACAATGCAATGAAAAATATTTAGATTAGTCATTAAAAGCAAGCCACAGGGTTATTTTTTTCAAAATTGATGCAAGATCTGGCAAAAGTTTTATTATTAAAATAGTTGAAAGTATTGAAAAAAAATCTGAGTCTGCAAATCACCCAAGCAATAAAATGGAAGCGGATATTAAGAAAAACAAAACAGTTGTGCAATTTCTCACAGCAGAAAGACTAGGGAACAGAAATTTACTGACAAATGAGTGTGGTTTATGGCAATAATCGAATATCTCTAGCAAGAATGAAAAATGGAGTAAACACTTTTGAGAACTTGAACATCTTTGAAAGAAAACAATAGGCTTGGTTAGCCTAATCATGTGACCACAAATAAAATCATCTAATCAGCTAACAAAGCCATTTGTGAAATCAGACGTCACAAAAGATTGACTGATGACAGTATTAAGCAATATTGTGGCACAATTCATTCCATCATCAGAGAATCCTCTTCATTATAGAAAAATCTGTGCACAATGGGTTCCCATGATCCTGACTCCAATATTAAAAAAAAAGCAAATGGGAATGGCCTTGAAAAATCTGGAACAATTTCACTTGAAAAAAAATAATTTTTTTCCTTGAACAGATATTGCAAATGAAACATAGAACTACCATTATCTGACTGAAAGTAAATGGTAGAGCCTCAAATGAAAAAATCTATAATGTTGTCTAAAAAAGGCCAAGATCATTCATTCACTGTAGAATAGAAGTAATACTGATGTTTTTCTTTAATAGAAAAAGACCACTCCATATCAAATTATTTGAGCCATTGTCAACACTGCATGTCAGAAAACAGTGGAAAGCTTACAGTGATTGATCAAGTCAAAGTGGCCATGATTGTTGTTTGAAGGGATATTTCTCCAAGATAATGCTCATTCCAACATTGCTACCAGAACAAAAGATAAGTCAGAGCAATGCAGGTGAAAAGTCCTTCATCGCACATTGCAGTCTGGGTTTATCATCTTGTGAATATGCCATTTTTTAAGAAATGAAACAAGTGTTACAAAGTATTCAATTTTTATCAGATGAATAAATTGAAGTGAAGGTTTGAATGGTTCAAGAAACAGCGAAAAAAATTCTATGAGAAATCTATTAACTGCCTCATATCAGAGTATGATAGATGCTTAAATAATTCTGGAGATAATTTTTTAGATAATAAAAATAGCTGTGATTTTATGACTCTGACTTGTTTTAATTGACTAATCCAAATATTTTGAAAAAATGGTAATAAATAAAGTTTTATCTCAAAACTTTCATAGTGACCTACATATTTAGAAATAGCAATATAGCTTCAAATTCAACCTTTCAACAGAAAATAAAATCAATTTCAATTTGCAAACACTTAAAAATGAAATATTTGTACTGCAAATTAATCTATTAAAAAAAAAAAAAGAAATCTGAGTCAAAAGTTTATTTACCTGCTATTTTGATAACAGTAGCAATCCAGTAAAAGCTAGGAAAGAGATGTGCAAAATTATTACAATCTTTATTTTCTACTTCTATTTTCATTCCAACTGTTATATTATCCCAACAATCAGACATTGAAACCTACATTAAAATTAAAAATAATAATAATAATAAAATAGGAAGCTATTATATAATGAAAGAAATCATATATAAATGCACAAAATTAAGAATTTGTTAATAATTAAAAATCTTTCAAATGATGCCACATGATGATGATTAAGTTCACATACCCATATATTATAGATGATTAAGATGAAAATTTTTTAATTTATCTTGAAAACAAAATTTGGTAATTAGTTTCAGAGCTATGTGAGAATTGAAAGAAACTGCATGTTACATTAAAAGAAGTTTTTAATACTGTTCATAGTAACTATTTAAAATATTACATTCCTGCATTTACAGAAATGCTAAAACAATTTTTTAAATTAAATCTGTTGCCATAAATTCTTTACTCACAATATTTTTTTCCTTTCTTTTAAATTGTCTTCTTTGATTTAGTTTTTAAAAATAAGAAATAATCTGTGTGCTAAATCAAACAAATAGAAAGATGATTTAATTCTGCAATCCTATTTTATCAAAGTTTCTTAATAATCATTAAATATTAAATTATGCACAGCCATCTATTGGGAATCAGTCCCATGTTTTTTTATAAATTTTATAAGCTTCTTTGTCACTATTAAGTTGCTTTTCCATTAAAGACTTTATTTGACAATCAAACTGGCTGTACTTGGACATCATATTTGGGGGTCAATTTGTGAAATCTTTTCACTACTTAGTTTTTTATTTCCATAGATATTAAATCTCATACAATCTTGTACAGCAGCAGTAATGTTTTTGATCATATTGAATGTTACATTAATTTATTAAAGTTTATTTTGCTGCTATACAAGGTTGTAAAGATTTATTTCCATTGTAATGTGTAATTACAAAAAGAAGGACAACTAATGGGTTTGTATTCAATATGAGCAGATACTGTAGTAGAAATGATAAAATATATTGTTTTTATTGTTTTAGTTCCTGTTGATATATTTTAGATGCATGAAATATAAATTCTTATAGTGTAAAATGTCAGGAACTAATTTTCAAAATTTTTAAAAAATGTTTAGCTTAACAATAAAAATTACTTCTCTCAATGAAAAGAAAGCTTAGGATCATAATTTATAGATCAGGGTGTTAACAGAAAAATTGAATCTGTAATCTATAGTTCATAGTAAACTTTCCAATATAATCTTATCCCAGTATAATCATTTACACATAATATTAAAATGCTTAATTAGAATGTTATACACCAAATGATCACTGCATCAGGAACACCATGCCAGCACGATCTTGGAAGTAGTAAAGGATGTCCTGTAATTGCCACATCACAATTTACTCTATTCATGATGTGTTGTCATTTGCATAGCAGAAGGCAACAATTACCAGTCATAGATAAACAGGGCAACTTGAAACCCATCAGAGTCCATTCCCAGCATTTGCAAGCCACAATCATCCAGAAAGGTAGACCAATCTGTTAGTAGACAGGTGTTCCTAATATAGTGATTATTCAGTGTATATATTCAACACTACAGCTCTACATGAGAGTTAAAAACCATCAAATAAAAAATGGCTGAAGAATATTCTAATCAGCTGTTTATTGATTTAATAAACTTCAAAAAAGATTTTTATTATCTGTTATATTTAATTTTTAAAATGCATATCTTTTAAACCTATCTCAATTCTATCATTTATTTAAGTGTTATTTAAATTAAATTTAATAAACATTTGTCATCAAACTACATAAGAGTTTGTTTAATCAATCATATATCATAATAGTGAATTTTTCATTATCGTAAACAATAAATTTAAATTAAAAAATAAAACTAAAACCTTCATAATTATCATACATCTGTAGTGGATTTCAAAAGTAATGCAAAATTTAAATTTTAAAAATAATGTAGTATTTACTCATTAATTGGCAAAGTTGTTACATCATTTTAAACATTGCAATTAAATATGGAACAGAATATCTCAGAAATTCCCTCCATGACTCTTCTGACACATTCTTTTGACAAAATTTTCAACAACATTTTCATACAATTGTGGCTCAATTTCGTTGATAACTTTTTGAATTTCTGCTTACGATTCAGGAATTTTCCTTATTCTAGTGGCATAAACTTTGGACTTTACAAATCTTAGAGAAAAAAGTTGTACGGTGTCAGATGGCATGATCTTGGTGGACAATACTGATCACTGTTAGGTAAGATGAGTTTCCCATAAAACTTCTGCCACAACTCAGTACGACAGGTGGCACCATCCTGCTAGAACCATATATCACTTAAATCCATGCTGTCCAAATGAGACCTTGAAAACTCAAATATCACCTCACAATAATGCATACAATGAACAGTAACTGCATTTTCAGCCTCATTTTCAAAGAAATATGGTCCAATCCCTCCACCAGTCCAAAACCCACACCAAATTGTCACTCGTTAGGCATGCATTGGTTGTTTTTTGCATGTTATTTGCACAGTCATTTCATTTGGCATGTTTCTCCAACTGAAAATGCCACATAATTTGTGCACAGTTGCAGCAAAACTTTCCCCATATTTGTAATAAGTTTTGATAATCATTACATCATTACATGCTCCTCCATCGTGTATTACTCCATATTAACTAACTGCAATATGTTTACTACAAGATGTAACTTCATATGGTGCTGTCACCCAATGGGAGAAAATTGGTGTGAAATTTAATTCCTGCATTAATTTTGGAACACCCTTCATTAATCATGAAGAAGTTTTCAACTCAAGCACTCAAAGTGCCTTGAACAAACTGCTGAAGCTATAATATTTTATTTATCATACGATAAACAACTCATACCAATAAAGCACAAACATTTTGCAGAATAATTTGGAACTAGTCTTATTATTGTATTTATAGCATGCTTTTCTCATAGAGCATTGTAAAAATAATATATCTCAAATTATAAGTATATTAAACATCCTGAAGTCCAATATATAAATAGATACATAACCAAATGATTTATAGTCTGATTATTTAGGGCATTTGTTTGGTTATGTATATCACAAATTATCTTCAGATATGATAAACTGAAAAACATTTCATACGGGTTTCTTGCAATTTCTCTGTTAAGTAAGAATGTATGACTCTTTCAATAAATAAATGACTCAATAGATTACTTAGAATTATAATTGTCATTACTGATATTTTCACTATAAATTCGCTTGATCACTATTATTTTCTTATTCTCACAAATAATGATGAATTTTTGCAGCTGTTTCTGAAAAGTGTTAATGATCTTTACAGTTTTTTGTATTATTTTTTGTACATCAGTAATCTATTTTCATATTGCAAATGCATAAGTATGAATGCATGCATCAGATATTCTATAAAAGTTAGTTAATCCTATCAGCTATGACTCAAGTGATCCAACTTGTCTCTTGGTCTGAGCTTCACAACAAAACACAAAACATTTGACTCACATAGACAAAGGTTACATTAAACTACTGTATACTAACATACAAAATTTGAGAATGTTGCCTGCAATACACGTATCTTTGATCTTTGGAATAATCTAAATTTGTAACATCTCAAAAATTGAGAACAATCTACAGCTATATCTTGTCTCACTGGATATGACTTTTCGAGGACTACATTTCATTGTTAAAGATTAGCAAATGTCTTCTCAAACACAATGAAATGAACACTAACAACAAACTATCATTTAAAAAATAATATTAATAGTACACTCACAACATTTATTTATTTGCTCAAATTGTCTATTTTATTTTTAGTTTGGCATCATTTAAATGTGAGAGTTTTCCATTCCCACTATATACTGAGAATTCAGTTGAGTCAAGCTGAAATTTCTGATAACCTGGGAATACAGCATGTGTGTAGTATTAATTAGTTTATTATTAGTTTGAATAAATTATTTTATTGAAGTTCCGATAATAGAATTATCTTTTTTATATCTTCTCATTAAATGAATCATATATTAATTTATGTAAAATATTCTTTATAGATTAATTGATATCACATGATTATTTGCCTACTGTACTGGTATTAAGGATATTTCATATGCTCTCAAATAAATGTTTCAGACACCTGATATTTAATGTCTGAAATATTTATGAACAAAATATTATATTAATCTTCTGAACATAACATGAGTAACTAGCTCATGCATATTCCAATTTTTGATCAAATCTTGAATATAACTTGCATACCTTTCAAAAAAGATATTTTTATTGTTCATAATAAAAATTAACAAAAATTTAGATAAAAATACAAGTATAGTTTAAATGTTTATTTATAAAAGTTATGAAATTTTTAACAAATTTTGTTAACAGTGAATAAGAGAAATCTATATATATAATTGAGATGGGTTGATAATGATAATAGTAATAATAATAAGCGCAGAGCCCAAACGATTAGAAGTTAAAAGTTGAAATTTGGTACACAGTTAGGGTACATCATTAGAATGTACACTAAGAATAGATTTCTCGAAATTTCCCTTTGCTGGGGAGAAGAAGAGGATTAAGGCTTAACACTGGTTCTACTGTACTATTTTAGATGCAATTTTTTTTGTGTTTTTGACTGTGCATTAGTAGGATATGCCAGGAGAATGCACATTAAGAAGGTATATTTGGAAATTCCATCTCCCCAAGGGAAGAGAAGGAAGGAGTTAGTTTTAATCAGTATAAAGTGTAAATCACAAAGAAGGAAAATAAATAGTGGCGCATATAATATATATTTTGGCAATTAATAAATATTTTAATCATTTCCACTTTTCAGGTAATCCAAAAACAATAAATCCAAAATAAACGAATTTGACAGAATATTTGAATTCGTTCCAAATTGAAAAATTTGAAATATAATGTTCTAAGGAAGTTTTTTTAATTTCAGAATTTAAAATTAATCATTTTATTTAAGTAATATTAAAAATTTCTAATAAATTTGACCTAATCCTATAATATAATCAAGATGGGTTGATAATGATAATAATAATGATGATGAACGCAGAGCCCAAATGGTTAGAAGCTGAAAGCTTAAATTTGGTACAGTTTGGGTACGTCATGAGAATGCACACTAAAAAGAAATTTTTGGAAATTCTCCTGCATGGGAGAGAGCGGAGGTTTAAGGATTACCCTGAAGAACTCGGCTTCTACTCTACTATTTTAGATGTGGTTTTTAGCGTTTTATGGGAAATCGAACATATTTTTAGACCCATCTAAAAATTTTCTAATTACCCTCAGTGGAAAAGTCCTAAATTCTTGCACCTGATGAAAATGGGTAAGATCAGCTATATAAATATAAAGGCTATCTTACGTAAGAATTTATCACACCAAATGATCAATCTAACATGTTTTAAAAAGTCTTTATTCCTCTATGGTACACAATTTTAAAAAATTTTTAAATGTGTTAGATTGGGCACTCAGTGTGATAAACTCTTACATAAGATAACCTTTGTAAATCAAATACTATAACATAATACATTAGAATGGTTAAAAGTACAGAATAATATGATAATCTTAATCTTTGCTGTTGTTATTTTTTATCCAAGCAACGCTGGGATCATCTGCTAGTTTTAATATAAAATAATAAAAACATATAATTTACATGCAACAAAATATTAGTTTTTGATTTTTGATACATTTAATAATAAATTTTTTATTTGCATTTAGATAATATTTTGAATTTTACTAATATTTTTATTAGTATCTGTTTGTTTATATTAAAATTTAAAAAATTTATTCAGCATACATTGTTTTAATAAACAGTATAATTTAATGATATGTATGCTGTAAATTTTTATTTGATTTATTTTTAAAACTCAATTAAAAACTTTGTAGAAATATTTAATAAAATGTTTAGAAAATCAGTCACTACATACACACAGAAACCTTCATGGAAACAGATATATAATAATGAAATTGAAGTGAAATGTAACACTATAGAGCCGAGACTTTGATATTCCATTAAAAACATTTTTAATTTTGTGATTCATTCAGACAATATTATCTACATTAAAAAAAATACGATGGAGATGCTTTCTGAAGATCATGCATATATTCCTTCACTCTAATCAGTTTTTCATGTCATACTTTATTGCCAGTAAAGGAATGTCTTTTCATTCTCAAATACTATATTAGTTTATTAAATAAATATATAATATTCATCAACTTACTAAGTTTTCAGATTTATGTTTGCAAAATCTCATCTTAGAGTCCAAGATAAAAAAAATGTTAAGAAATTTTTTCAGGAAAACTAAAGAGTAATAAATTTTAAGACAATATATGCTTTGTGCCCATATATGTGCCCATCATAAATAAAGTTGATCTAACAAACAAAATGTTTTTAATTACTTGAAGAATTAAACTATATAAATTTATAGCCAAATGAATTACATATTTACTATTTAAACTGTTATATATATAATTTTTTAAACATTATTTTGAATACTTCATAATTATAATTAAGTTTGAGCAAGTAAAATATAATTTGAAATAGATGCATCAACACCATTTGAAAATATTGAACAAAATGACATTTGTGGCAGTAATTGTACATTAATTATATGGAAATATATTGTATCTTTAGTTTCANTGAATTTTACTAATATTTTTATTAGTATCTGTTTGTTTATATTAAAATTTAAAAAATTTATTCAGCATACATTGTTTTAATAAACAGTATAATTTAATGATATGTATGCTGTAAATTTTTATTTGATTTATTTTTAAAACTCAATTAAAAACTTTGTAGAAATATTTAATAAAATGTTTAGAAAATCAGTCACTACATACACACAGAAACCTTCATGGAAACAGATATATAATAATGAAATTGAAGTGAAATGTAACACTATAGAGCCGAGACTTTGATATTCCATTAAAAACATTTTTAATTTTGTGATTCATTCAGACAATATTATCTACATTAAAAAAAATACGATGGAGATGCTTTCTGAAGATCATGCATATATTCCTTCACTCTAATCAGTTTTTCATGTCATACTTTATTGCCAGTAAAGGAATGTCTTTTCATTCTCAAATACTATATTAGTTTATTAAATAAATATATAATATTCATCAACTTACTAAGTTTTCAGATTTATGTTTGCAAAATCTCATCTTAGAGTCCAAGATAAAAAAAATGTTAAGAAATTTTTTCAGGAAAACTAAAGAGTAATAAATTTTAAGACAATATATGCTTTGTGCCCATATATGTGCCCATCATAAATAAAGTTGATCTAACAAACAAAATGTTTTTAATTACTTGAAGAATTAAACTATATAAATTTATAGCCAAATGAATTACATATTTACTATTTAAACTGTTATATATATAATTTTTTAAACATTATTTTGAATACTTCATAATTATAATTAAGTTTGAGCAAGTAAAATATAATTTGAAATAGATGCATCAACACCATTTGAAAATATTGAACAAAATGACATTTGTGGCAGTAATTGTACATTAATTATATGGAAATATATTGTATCTTTAGTTTCATTTCTTTGATTTCAGAAATTAGAATTTAAATAAAATAATTTAACTTAACATCACAATTAACAGATTTATCAACTAGTTATGCAATACAAAAAATTTCCTTTTATTAATTAATACATTAAAAAATATCACCAAATTTTAATTAATTACTTAGCAAATCAAGTCAAATAATTCTAGAAAATCGATAACTTCATCAGTTTTCCAGAATCATTTGATGTAATGTACTATTTTATTGTTTTCAATATCATCATCACCAAAATAAAAAATTTGTATATGATTCTGAAGGTTTTTAAAGTTATTTAAAATTGATATATTTAAAGTTTATTGTAAAAAAACTATTTCTTTTAATGTTTATTTTGACAAAAGTTTAAAATTTTTAGTTATACATGAATTTTAATGATTATTAATTAAGGGAATTATTTATTCCTAATTTATAATAAAAAAAATTGAAATATTCCTCTTCATATCATCATCATATTATAAAAAAATTCTACTCTAATTTTAAAAATCAAATAAGCAATTTAAAAAAAAAATAAATAAAAAATAAATTATAAACAGACATACATGTTTAAAGCATGAAACTGGTGCAGCACTAAAATCAGGCCTATCTAAAAATGGTTTCCAATCAAAAGATCCTGCTAAATCTAAAAATAAAAAATATATATATCATCAAAAATAATTACGCACAGTAGAAATTCTAATTATATCAAAATATTTAGTTTAAATATAATGATTCAATCATATATTGTTGATTAAAAATCAATTATAACTGTGTGAAAACAAAATGGAAAATAACAAGACTAGCTAAAACATGAAATGTTTCACATATATAATAAATAAATAAAAGTAAATCATTATAATACTTAATTACTGTGATTAGTTTATTAAAGAACAAAAATACAGCAACAAAACTAATAGTTAAAACTAAAATATTTGCTTCTATTATTATTAACAGTTTAATTAAAAACTAAACCAGATAAGGAAGCTTTTTGTGTTCTAAAAATGTTCTAAAAAGTTTCTACAGCACTTTGCAGTCATTATGCTGAATGAAACAGCAGAATACAATATTTATGACAAGTTTTATTGACAAAACAGTACAGTACAATCAAACTGTACATCGAATCAGTGGCTGCACTACTTTAGAGTAAATGTTCAATATGAGTTATGTATTCAATATTATTCAATACGTTATGTAACAAAGCTGGTGGAGCTTTGTTACATAACATGCAACAACGAACCATGTTTTGTCCGACTCTCTGTAAGATGCCACGCTTCCCTCTGATGGTATTAAATGTTGTAAAAATGCACTTCGTAAGCTCATTAACTGTTCCTACAAGTGTTGCATACACAAGGGACTTTACATAACCCCAGAGGAAAAAGTCAAGAACAATAACATGACGGCAATGGACAAAAGGGTAGCTACCAAAGTGAAGCACTTCCTACCACTGTAGAAACTTTATATCACATTTCCATCTATGGGTTGCTTATATCAAAACGTTCAAAATTTCATCCTCTACAATTTCCCAAAATTTTAAAACGTCATTCTGATACACCTTGTACATCCTGAAATATAATTTTGAATACATTCATATTAATATAATACTAGGGACTCTCCCCAAAACAATGTTTTACAATGCCATTCAATGGTGTAGTTTTTTAAATAATTTTTACGCAATATCAGTTACATATATATTATTTAAATAACTATAAACAATATTTTAATTAAAATCTAATAAAGAATAATCATCTATAACATGAAATAAATACAGTTATTTAATATAATATGGAGTAAGTTAATTCAGACACTCATGAAACCTTTAAAAATAGCAAAAATAATTTAATTATAAATTTAAAACTTGGACAACAATATTTACTTTATGTATTATATTGTGATATTGACAAAATTACCAGAAAATGCTGTTTCTATTTGCATTCTATTGCAGAAGCAGAGCCTCAAACGAAAGGTCTCCATGTGTGAGAATTCTCATTTTGGACTGTCAGTGGTGTGACCAATGGAAAAAAAAATGAAAGCAAGATATCTTTTTTTGGATATTCGTGATATTTTTATTTTTTAGAAATTAATTACATTTATTTTTATTTACATTATTTATTTTTTCTATGTATTTATTTGTAATTTTATTTTATTTTATTATTTTAATTTTTAATTTAAATCAACCAGCATTCCATTTTTGAGAAATTATCTGTTATATTCTAATTTTGCTAAGTTTGATTTTGTCTTATACCTGAGGATGGTCTTTAAAAAGACCAAAAACATTTGTAATTAATGTTTTTGGTCTTTTTAAAGACCATCCTCAGGTATAAGACAAAATCAAACTTAGCAAAATTAGAATATAACAGATAATTTCTCAAAAATGGAATGCTGGTTGATTTAAATTAAAAATTAAAATAATAAAATAAAATAAAATTACAAATAAATACATAGAAAAAATAAATAATGTAAATAAAAATAAATGTAAAATTAAATAAGTGAATAAATGATAGAAAATAAACAACATAAACACAATACTTCTAACAAGTAAAATGGCAAAACCATATTTGGGACAAGACTATGTCTCAGAGATGGAATCACTTTGATGCTCAAGGCAGGACTCGTTCTCATTCACCTATCTTCTTTGATATCGTTGCTTTTGGGCACGATCGTTCAAACTTCGCCAGCCACAACTATGAGATCACCTACGGTGCATCTTCAATGAAATTAACCTATCTAATTTCAAAATTTCTCTCCGCTATGTGTCGGCCTGGGTTGAATTTTTGTCAATGTGTAACGAAAAGTTTCCATTTTTGAAAAAAATAATCGTGGCTACTGTATCGTCCAAAATTATTTTTTTATTTTGCACAAACAATATACAGTTTAACTCAATTATAATGTCATCAAATGTAACGACAACCCGAATGTAACATCAAATTTTTATCAGTCCTACAATTTTACTATACTAGATAATGTTAAAAAAAACCCACTTGTAACGACATAAAACTGTTTTAATGTCATATTCGAAGCATTCCCAAATTTACAAAATTAGATTACAAATTTTATTTAACATATTTTAACATAGAAGAAACTACGTGTTCAGTCTTAAGATCAGAGTTCACTTCTTAGAATGACTGTGGGTGGTACTCTCCCATACCTGACTTCAGTGGAGTGAGGTGGCTGTTTTGCCTGTTTGTGGAAGAGGTTTGCCATTTTGTATTTTATTTTGACTCGATTCTTGGTCCCCTGATTACCTATGAGTCTGGATTTTTTTATGCGCAAATGATTTGGGCACCTAATACTCTGTGCCAAATATCAACTCTCGACATGTACTCCTTCATACCTCTATGCTGGTAAGAGCATCGGGCAGTACGATTTTATGAACAAGACATAGTCTTGTCAAAAATACAATATAACCTCAAAAATCCATAAATAATAAGACAAATGTATACAAAAATAGGTAAATATTGTATAAAATGAGTATCCTGTAGATGTATGGAGCCGATTTCTGTTATGCCAACTCAAAGCAGAATCTCCATGCCACAGAGAGACATTGGTATCCTTATAACTGATAGAATAATAATTGCATATATTTGTAAATGTATAGAACTACCACATAATGTATGTGATGTCTATTTCTAATACTTCTAATAATCACAACAACCAACGACTGAATTGGAAAGAGTGTAAGCAGCAAGGACTGACTAGCTCAGACTTCCAGATGTTATACTTATACTCCTTCAGTTTAGCATCCAAAAATCTTAATGTAGTCTCCATGTATTGAAGATCATCTCTCTTGTCCAAGAGAAATAATGTATACTCCGAGAATGTCACTGGAGTTGGGAGGATCCTTATCATTATGCAGTAGCTTATAGATACAGTAAAATTCAGTTAACATGGCATCTGGTATGCTGGCAAATTTGATAAGCCAGCATGTCCAGATCATCTTGGGGGGAGTATCAGTGCACTAGGGTATTCATCTGTATTTATACATAACCAGTAGCCAGTTAATTAAAACTAAAAATAACAACTAAATTTAAAATTAAATTAAAATTCAAAAAATTTAAAACTTTGTCCTTTATAATGAAACAGAAACTGAAATCAAAACTAAAATTTAAATTAAAATCAAATCAACTAAAAACAATATTTCAGAAAGTGTGGATAAAGTATTTATCTGTCTTGATGGATTTGATTATATTTCATCCAGGCAGTCAGAGTTGAGTTTCTGTTTATAGCACTTTTTGTAAAGTGTTAGTTTTGGTTTTGGTTGGCAGGATGAAACATTTTGCTTTTAATACGTAAAATACAGTCGACCCCCCTATAACACGGTAGATATGTTACGGTTTTTATGAATCCATTTTCTACGAGTACAGCCAATCACAGCTCGGCACATATGCAGTTTACAGACTACGGCTGTTTGAAAGGTTTCTTCTATAAAATTAATCGATTCTAGACTAATTCGACTCAACATTTCCAAAATACGTATAATTTTTTGGGAATAATCCATATAAACTATGCTATGAACAAAAAATTGTAGGATTACTTACTGAGTGTGCACCGTTCGACGGCACCATTGCTTAAGCTTGTTTTCGTCGTGGCGCTTGTCATCGAATGGCGCTCGCATGCTTTCTGATAAATTATTTTTTTTGCGAAAAATTCACTGAACTTTGGAGACATCATTAATATAAATATAATTTTTATGGCCGTTAAATAATAAATGGTTTTTAGTAGGTCTACTGCTCGTTTAAACTCAACGGTTTGTGCAATATCTGCTATTGGTCTAGATTCGACCAATCCTGTTGCAACACGAGTCGGCGATGACATTTTACCGAATTATAAGAGTTTTTTTAGCGTGTTTGTACGAATACTGTCGCAATTTTTTTACCGTGATATAGGAATCTGAACTATAGGAACCAGTGTTATGGAGGGTCTACTGTATACAGAATATAAAGTAGATACAGTTAAAAGTCTACAAAGTACAAAGTGAGATTCTAGTTAGAGTATTCTTGTTTCAAACTAACCAAGGGTAGTAATAATCTGAAAAATTGGAATGACATGTAAACAGTGGATTTGTACAGTTGCATGCAAAGATATGTAAAATTGCATCCAGTAAATCAAAAAGAACCAGAAAAAATTCCATTATCTGATAAGTTGACATATTCGGTAAATTGGCATGATGATGCCGAGTTAACAGAATGTCACTACAGAAGGAATCCTTCTGCCAGTGGCTTTACTGATCTTCTAGACTTTATGGAAGAATCTAGCATGCTCCATCACAGTATAATTTTAGTCCTTGATGAGTCATTTGTGTTAACTTGTAGTTCCAAGTAGAACTTATTTTTATTTACGTTATTTATTTTTTCATTATTTATCTATGTATTTATTTGTAATTTTATTTTTGCACAAAAATTCTCCAGTATAGTTTGTTCCACTTTTTAGTTGAACTTGGACTTAGCACTATCAGGTAGTGTTTCTGACTGTTTGCAACAAATATAGAAACACTACCTGATAGTGCTAAGTCCAAGTTCAACCAAAAGTGGAACAAACTTATAGTTTGTTCCACTTTTGGTTGAATTTTTGTGCAAAAATTTTATGAAACTTTGTACCAACGTAAATGTACCAACAAAAGCATCTAAATGAACTTAGCAATGTACATTCATCGTCTCTGATAGGAGAAAGGAATATAATTAACAATGTACTGGAATTTTATAATGTCCGTGTAACCACCTCATTCTTCGGGTTTGTGATATGCAAACTTATAGTGTACAAGTGCCATATTGTGGTTAATGTTGACTGATGAGGGGCCAAAAGCATTAACACGTAGAAATACCGTATCAATTAAATAAAGATGAAAAAGAAGCCACGTGATTGATTAATAACAGGATCTTGTGTTTAACACATTTAAAAAAATTTTAGTACAACACGGTTTCAAAACAACAAATTTGTAATTAAATTAATTTTTCTATTTTTAAAGGTTCCATGCATGTCTGAATTTGCATATTTGAGAAAATTTATAATAAATTAAAATTAGACACATGGCACTTAAATTAATCGTCCAATGGACATTGTAGCATTCTATGAAGCACTGAGTCAAACTATGAGATCTCATAGAACCTAAAATGATTTGAGATTTCAGATTGTTATTGAAACATATTCAACACCTTTCAAATGCACTATTTCATTTTTCTGTAGGAAGTTGTTTCTTATCAAACATTTCATGTCAGTGAATGAGTGAATGAATAAGTCAGTAATCAGTCAAATTACTACAAACCTAGATCCAAAAACCACACAATATTTAACGGGGCACGGTAATTTTATGGCCTACCTCTACTACCAGTTTAAGAAGAGAAACGCTAATAAATGCCAGTGCAACAATAACAGTGAAGGAGATGCCATATATTTTATATTCTACTGTAAATGATATGAAGAACAACGCATTCCATTCTATAGGGAATATTCAAGAAAGACTTAATTGGCCACCAACACTACAAAACATTTTTGACAAGAAAAATCTCTAGAAGTGTTTTGAAAGATTTATTGAAAGCACCAGGGCTCTTCTGCCAGACTTCTACAGGAAAGAAAAAATTCTTCAGAATGAAAACAAAAACAAACAAGATGACCAGGAAGACAGAGAAACAACAGAAAAGTGATGTTATCAGCTATTGATCGTATTGTAGAATACTTCTGTACATAGTTTAGTTGTCTACTATTAGTTTAGTTTTAGATTCTAGATTTAAAAAAAAAAATGTATTTCTATTAATATGTATTGGGACCTCAAGTAACATTATTATGTTTTTTTTTTATTTACAAACGTTATTCTATGTTTTGTACTGTAAATGATTCAGTGAATTACAGTCTAATGTTGGCAATGTTCGACATGTTAACATATCATATGCCAGTGAACCTGTTAAAAACATTAATCAACATTTCTAAGTTCAAGTTACTGTAATTAGAAAGGCATATTCATCCTCATGTCAGTTATATATGTTTGGCATGTTAACTTATCAATTGTCAGGGAACTTGTAAATAACTTAAATCACTTACCTTCTCCGCAAATAGAAATTGTAATCAGTACAGTAAAGCATCAATTATCTGAATCAATTGGGGACTGGGGTTGTTCAGAAAATTGATTTTTTGGATAACAGATTATGTACAAAAAAATACATTATTAATATAGCATATTAGTATATCCCAATAACAGTATATTAATATATCCCATGTTTAAATTTTTCTCCGTTGCGTGTCACTTCACGTTGAATTTTCGTTGATGTTAAGCCTAACGAAAATTTTTATAATAATCATCGTGGCTATTGTATCGTTAAAAATTATTTCTTTATTTTGTACAAACAAAATAAATANTTAAATTATAACAACCTATTTGTTAAAGGAGGAGAAAGTCAACCTTCAAACAAGTAAACAAGATGAATCTTGTCTCAAACCAAATATGGTATTATCAGCATTAGTATATCCCAATAACAGTATATTAATATATCCCATGTTTAAATTTTTCTCCGTTGCGTGTCACTTCACGTTGAATTTTCGTTGATGTTAAGCCTAACGAAAATTTTTATAATAATCATCGTGGCTATTGTATCGTTAAAAATTATTTCTTTATTTTGTACAAACAAAATAAATATATTGAAAAATATAAAAACAAAAAAATATTATACTTTAGAAGTTAATCTAGTATCAAAAATGTTCGATTCAGCACAACACAGCCTGACTGGAACGCTTTCGGTTAACCAACGTTTCAGTTGATTGGCATTCGGATAATCGATGCTCTACTGTATTATTATATCATGTAAGCTAATATTTACATTCTCTGTGTATTAAAATTGTAATCAGTTTTTAATATTATTGTAACCTTGCAGTGATCAAGATTGTTAACTACCTACGAGTTTTGCATACTACTGTAACCGGACATTTTCTTGTAATTGTATAACAGTTTTGCAACTGTGGTAATTTTGGTTATTATTAATTTCCAATGCAATGCTCTGAGGTCCTAAGAACTTTTTTCACCTTTACTTTTAACCCTTTTCCTTTATACTGTACTTCTCCCTTCAGAACCTTTCCTTCAACCTTTTCTTTACCCCCTTTTCTTCCTAGTGGGCTAAGTTTGCAAAAGTAGGCAGCCCCTCTTTCTTTATTAGAATATTATTAGAGTAATCAGTCAATGTAGGTTTATATTATATTTAAATTTCCACTCTTCATCTAATAAGGAATATAATGTGCCATTCACTAGAATTGAATTACATACAGCAATCTCTCGCTCAGGGAATAGTGCTGTAGGCCCGAATAAAATCCACTACAGCATGATTAAAAATCTGTCAAACAATTCCCTTTATAATCTGCTGTGTCTGTTTAACAGAATATGGACAGAACATACTTTTCCTGACTCTTGGAGGCTATCGATCATTATTCCCATTCCGAAGCCTGGTAAAGACCACAAGAATCCCTCAAATTACAGACCAATCTCTCTGACAAGTTGCCTGTGTAAACTCTTTGAGAGGATGGAAAACAGACATCTGATGTATCTCTTAGAGAAAAATGAATACTTTTCACCACATCAGAGTGGTTTTCGTAGGAACAGAAGTACCACTGATAACTTAGTAAACCTTGAAACATGTATACGCGAAGCGTTTGTTAGACGACAGCACTTAGTGTCTGTGTTTTTTGATATAGAGAAGGCCTATGATTGCTGTTGGCGATATGGGATACTCCGTGATCTGGACCATTTCAGATTGCGGGGTAATTTGCCAATTTTCATAAAAAACTTCTTAGAGAATCGAAGATTCCAAGTCAGGATGGGCAACACTTTATCTAGGCCTTTCACGCAACAAGAAGGTGTTCCTCAAGGCTCTATTTTGAGTGTGACTCTGTTCCTAATTAAAATTAATAGCATAGCTAACTGTCTTTCCCCTAGTGTGAAACAATCTTTGTATGTGGATGACTTTCAGATCTCCTGCCAGACATTTTGGGCCAGAGGCCAAATCTGGATAATATACTGGACTTTCTAAAAGTCATTAATATGTATAGGAAATCTAATGATTTATTTATTGTACAGTTTTATTTACTTTGAGTTGCATATTTAAATTATTGTATATATTTTTTGTTGTTGTTTACTTATTTTTGTTGTTGTTTATTTATTTATTATATTCTAGATTTTATATTTATATTACCATTGGCTTTTTAATGGTTAAACTGTGATGTTTCATTTATGTGTATATATGTTCCCCTATTTATTTTCTACCCTGAATTGTACCATGTGTCGTGGCGCAGTATAGCCTGCATGGCTTTTGTGCCAATAAAAATTAACCAACCAACCAACCTTTATATTATATTAGGTTTTAACAAAAATTATACTTGTATCTATATACAAAAAAATATTTACATATATAAAAACGAAAGTATGTCTGTCTGTCCTTCATGCATTACTACACCATTTATCTGATTGCCGTGAAACTTTGGGAAGTTGTTTAATACACTCCTGCGAAGGTTTCTGGCATAGTACATTTATCCTACGATAGGTGGCGCGTGAGTATACAAGCATTTCATCGTGAGCATTTCAGTGAAGTTAGAAGTTGAAACTTGAAATTTGGTACACAGTTAGGGTACATCACGAGAACACACACTAAGAAGGGATTTTTTAAAATCCCCCGTGGGGAAAAGGACAGGATTAAGACTTCAACAATGGAAGTGTTAAGAGAAAACAACGTGCAAGATTTACAGGTGCAGATGTAGTTTATTTTGCATTTTTGCGAGAAATCAAACATATTTTTAGACTCATCTAAAAATTTTCTAATTAGTCTGGAAACAGGGGAACCTAATTCTTGCATTCTGTGAAAATGGGTAAGATTGGCTGTAATGTAATAATCTTAATCTTTGCTATCGTTACTTTTTGCCTGAGCAACACTGGACTTATCTGCTAGTCATAATATATTATAAAAAAAAAGTAAAGCAATGCATAACATTAACAAAATTCTTAATCTATGTAAAAACTTAATTATTTCACCTTGTTTGGATTTCTTTAAATGAGAACTTTTCTTTAAAGTAGATTGTGAAATTGGTCTTTTAGTAGTTTTCATTTGAGTGGAGGTCTAAATTTAAATAATATTTAAAAATCATTGTAGAATATTTAAATTTATTTTTTTAAAATGTAATATATTACAAAATACCTTTCCTCCTGTTGCTTTAGGTAAACCCCTAGAACATGCTAAACTACAGTAACGTTTTGTCTTTGAGTAGAAAGCATGTTTCACACCAATATTTCCACATCGTTCACACACTGCTATAAATACAAATCATTTTATTATTTTAAAAAATCAACAACATTTTACAATTAATTAAATGTTTTAGTTTTTAATATTTCTGTAAAACTTCTAAAGCATTTGAAAAAATATATATATATTTTAAAATTAAATTCTTGAACATTTTTAAATAATTTATTTTATTAAAATAAAAATATACCAGCATGACAAATCTGAAGTATGCAATAAGTTATCATTAGTTTATTACTTAGTTTAAAAAGAGTATAATAAATTTTAACTCAATTTTTCAGTACTCATTTCTAATATAATAATGGTTTTTAATCACTCTTCAGTAAAATAAAATTGTAATTAAAATAAAGAATAAATTTTAAAAAAAGTAATAGCAAACAGGAAAATGTATATGAAAAAATAAGAGCTTTCACTCTTATTTCTTCATATTACTTTTTGAATGTATTATTTTATATTTCCTATATAAAACTACAAATTGTCTTGTAAAGATTTTTAAAAATTCTACCTTCTAAAACATTGTTTTTTTTACTTGTATTTTAGAAAATAATCTCTATTATTATAATTATTCTTATTTCATATACAAGGAGTTCCCAACTTGGTTGGTTAGCAATCCAAGGGGTCAATAGATTACAAGGTGTTGTTTGGAAATTGATATATAAATCTGAGATTTTTCCATCCTATTTGTAATTTATTCTGTATCAGTATAAAAAGGGCAAAGAATTAAATCTAATTTTAAAAGAGAGTCAACTAGCAATGTTGAAAAACCGCTGATATATAAAATAAATTATACAAATTATTTTCTTATTTTAACAATGTATATTGGCTAATTAAGATCTAGATTGTAATGATGCTTTAATTAATACTTATAAGATAATTAAATTAATTATATGATTCTAATTTTATAAGAATAAGAAAATTCAAAAATTAAATAGTTCTAGCTACATATGCATAGTAGTTATTTTAATAAGATAAACGTAACTCACCCATCCCATCTTTTCGAATTGCAAGTGGTCTTTTGAGTCCATTTTGAGATAATGAATTTTCTTGTTGGCATAGCTCATTATCACTATCACTTTCTGAAGATGATGATGATGATTCACTGGTAGAACTGATTTCATTTATCGAAGACATTTTCAAGATTTATTTATTGGCATTAAACTCCCATAAAGTGATGTATAATTCCTAAAACAAAACTTTTATTTAAAATTATATACTCTATTAAAACAATGAAATGAGACATTTAGTTTATTAATCTTTGACTTTGGCATCACTTATGTGAACAATTATTCAGTTCAATATAAGAAAAATCCAGAGATTAAAGCAAAGAAGCTATAATTCATAACATGAAAATTAAAATAATGAGTTTGATACTTAACACAATGTAAAGTTTCTATAAGATCTTACATTATTAAATATTTAAAATTTCATATAAATTTTAATTAAACAGCAACCAATTATAAGTGGATTGAATGAGATTTTACTTCCATTGTAGAATATCTTACATGAATAAGGAATTCTGATATAATGATGATTTTATAATATTTCAAATCAAGTTATTTAAATGGAATAGTCAGATGGAAAGATATGTGAGGTATTTAATCTTTAAGCAGACTGCCTTGACTGAAGACAATAAAACATAGTCAAAAATACTAGCGAGTTTATGTCTTTAAAGTCATTCTAACACTGAGAGACAGTTGTTTTTAACAAATAAAAATATAAATACGACTTTTTCACACAGGCAAATGCCTTGCTTTTGTCCTCCTTTTTTGCTGTTATATTTTCATTTGTTAAATGTAAATAGCGCCAGCCATGTTGCTTTACTATTTTTTATATTTCAGTTGTTTTTCTTGTTGTTACATTGAATAGGGTAATTGTATTTCTGTTTCTATGATGCAAACTAACTTGTCCCCTTACAAAACAGCACATTACATTAAATGATAATCTAGTTTGTCATAACAGGACAAACTAGATTATCATTTAATCTTATAGTTACTGCTAAATATTAAAATTTAACATTATTTTATATTACAGCCATAATTTACATCAAATTATCAATACATCTAATTCATGAATATGTAACCAAAAAGTTTTTACACAAATGTGTGAAACTTTAAAACTAAAATTTAAGATATGACAAAAAAAATTTATTGTATTAAATAACATGTTGAATCTGTTTATTGTAAGTAGTAGCGTTGCCACCTTTTCAAAATCGCTGACCCAGACAGCAGGTGAGGTTTGTTCGAACAGAAGTTCCTGATGCACGCGCAATGTCATTTTGCAATGCGAAGAATAATGTGCAGTGCATGCCGATTCAGTTAGGAACTAGGGAGACTTGGGTAGGAATAACATTAATAAGTAAATTAAGAGAAAACAATTACAGATGACTTAGCTCTATTGGATATTGGAGACGTGTACGTATATGAATTGTACAAGCAAAAAAAAAAAAAAAAGGTCGACAGGTTGCGCACGATATTCCTGGACAAAATTAATAGTTCACCCAGACAGTGAGTCAATTCCCGGAATGTCCAGGTGAAAACCGGACGGGTGATAACACTGGTAAGTAGGTATTTTCTAGGAAAACAAACAGCTCCACAGCACAGATATTTCAGTTTTGGCTTCACACGAAGACACAAATATGGGGACATGCTTCTAACATGGAATGTAAGAAGCATGGAATAAACATGAAATAGCATTCCATGTTAGAAGCATACTGAATAAAGTGGATATGTCAAGAAATGTCTTAAAGCAGTGTTTCTCAACATTTTTCAATTAGCAACACACTTTGAATTTAATAAGCTTCCTATAATACCATAATTTTTAAAATAAAAATGTTTAAAATTTAAAATAAATTATGGTTGATTTTTAAAATTTTGATAATAAATGAATTAAACTTACCAAGACAGAAACTTAATTTTACAAATACAGTGGGTGATCGGTTAACGAACAGATCGGACAATGAACAAATCAAATAACGAACACTTTCGCAAAAGATTTTTATGTTCGGACAACGAACACATGATCGGATAACGAACATCCCACAGAACAAACAAGAAGTGACATAAAATAACGAATACCAATTGGACTTTCCTTGTCTTCGGGCAACAATTCGAAACTTTTCGGAGTGTGGGAGACGTTGACATCGACGCTCAAGCCGGTATATAACGATCGGATAGTATTCCTCCGAACTTTAAAACTCTCCCTTATAATTCCAGCCTATTATTTTTATGACAAAAGAATTCTTTTATGTATTCGCGAGACTGTCGGGTAGGCACTCGTTAAGTTTTGCGTCTGTTTTTTTTGTTAGGTGAGAGTANCACTGTATACTATAAAAATACAGACTATTTAAATAAATACATAAAGAGCTAGTATCAGTCATTAAGCTGGTGAATCACAACATTTATAGAAGCTCCAAAGAGTTGGAATGCCAGTATATGCATAGATGCATGTAACTTTAATGAGGAGGTATGCTGATACCACAAAATTTGCAACAATTGGCCATTTTAGTGAATACATCCTCCTCCCTTTGGTTGGCCGGCAGTAAGAAGATAAAATATAAATGAAATGAAATTTTAAAAGAGCTTATTCAAAATTATAAAAAGTATTTAATATGTGAGATGGCAGACCTGATTTTGCCCTAATTTAAGGAAATTTTTAGCCTATTTCTCCATCACAATCATTAAGAAAACATCACATCGAAAATGCTTTAAATGACACCCTTTTCATCAACAACTGCTAAAGAATTATAACAATCTGGTGTTAAATTATAACAACCTATTTGTTAAAGGAGGAGAAAGTCAACCTTCAAACAAGTAAACAAGATGAATCTTGTCTCAAACCAAATATGGTATTATCAGCTCCATTTAAACGACAGTTTAGCGTCACCTATGACCTCTTACCTGCAACTTCATCTCCAAACATCCAATCACCTGATGGGTTTTCCCAGGCCTAAGGAGGCTAAAGGAAGCTGGGACTCAGGTATCAGGGCAGCCATCCCTGAGACCTTACAGGTGGACATCTCCAGACTCACCGTAGTCAGATGGACATCACCATATGCCATACAAGGTGGACCAGCCCAGAGCATGGAAGAAGCTCTACCCACCAGTCACCACCCTCTCCATACAGCATTGACACATCCCTAGAGGCAGATACCCATCTTGCCATATTCCAGCGACAGATCCAAGGTGACCACAGAGCACATGGACCCAGCCATAGAGAATACCAGCTAGAACTGCCATATGACAAAGGAAGCCATAGACCACAGCTCACCTTAGGATGTCATATACTCCTCCAGGAGAAATCAAGGACGATGTCGGGTATTTTGGGTAGAACAGTTGTAAATGCTCTGTCTAATGTAGATAGAATGGGAATGCACCGCATGAGTGAAGTGTTTATGATTGCGTAATTCGTAGTGTTTGTAATATATATTATAGTTATATTAAACTTTTGTCACATTTGTTAAACCTGACTACCTGTCATTACTCAAATAACAGGCACACTATCGACCTACCCATCACACTCCCCACTCGAATGTGTTAAGACCCATCCAGTCGTATTAAGCCATCCAGTGACAACGTGAGCAGTTTTTGCCAAACCGTTGCTGATTAAACGATCTTTAGGGAATACCCCCTTTTTCCCTGGCATCTCAAATATTTCTATGACACACCTGAGGTACTCTCAGCACACAGGTCGGAAAACACCGTCTTAAATCATCACTTCATTGATATAAAACACATACTAAAACTAAAGACAGTTTAAACAGAAAGATATGATGATGATGATGTTGATTATTATTATTATTATTATAATTTACTTAATAAATTCATCCAGTCTGTTTGCCTGATAGTATTTAAAAACAGCTAGTGTATAATGAGCAATTATTTATTGTGACATCATCACAATGCCAAGCTGCAATTTTTAATCATATTTTTAACTTATTTAATCTATATTAATATTATAAAGAGGTAAAGTTTGTAAGTTTGTATGTAGGAAGTAATCTTCGAAACTACTCATTTGATTTCAAAAATTCTTTCACCAATATTTAGAATGGACCTTCAGAGTGGACATAGGCTGTATATTATTCCATTAAACATTCATATAAATTAAAAGATATCATTGAGGTACAATCACTCAGCAGTATGTAAATCAAAAAAAAAAAAAAACAAAACACACACACACACAACACCTTAATTTGCTGAGAAAAATTTAATAAAAAGCAAACGTTTTCAGCCAAATCTGTTGGCAATCATCAGGCAAAAATATTTGAATATAAACAAATTTTTTTTTTAAAGATATCATCTAGGATTAAAGCTTTTGTGTCCAACAGATGGTGCTAACTCTGTGAGTACGACAACCTAAGTTTGCTTTTCTGTGAGGCATTATGCTTTTCTGTGAGGACGAACTAAAGCAGATCTCTTCTATCTATCTATATAAATAAAAATGTCATGTTCGTTTGTTCCTACCGATTCCTTTGAAATTTTGGCAAAACATTGCATTTGAATACGCATGTGTTTTTATATAATATACATGTCGAAATTCCCCCCACTGGGCGGAGATGGACAGGATTAAGGCTTACCGTGAATAACTCTGCTTCTATTTATACTATTTTAGATGCAATTTTTTTGCATTTTTGATTGCGTTTTAATAGGGTACGTCAACAGAATATACACTAAAAAGAGATTTTTTGAAATTCCCTCCTGTGAGGAGTGTTATACATTTATAATAGATACATTTTGAGCCACAGCAATGCATGGCCGGGTACAGCTAGTTTAAAATATATGGTCTCCACCTCAAATTAGTAGTGGCTTGTCTCTGTACATCATACTTTTCCTTTAACAATGAAGTTGTGCAGGTCATCTATTAACTGCTTTCAGGAAAAAATTTTTGAATTGAAATAACATGACTTCCAGTTTGCATCAGAAATTTATATATAGTGAATTCAGGAATCCTGCCCCTAAGGTTTCTATATCTGGTCTCATCTTTCATCTATCTGTGTTCTTGAGATTAAGGAAGAACAGATGGTGGATGACAGTGGGAATTTATAGGACTAAAATTTTTTCAAACTGCAGCCCAATTAAAGTAAGAAATGCTAACAATTTAAATTACTTTAATTTAAATTATTTAAATTTTAATTTAATTTTAATTTTACGTTAATTTAAATTACTAAATCACAGGCAAATAATCAT